TTATGTTAAAAATAAATAAAATGTTAAAACTTATTTATTATACTAAATTTTAGAATTATAAAATGAATTTTATTATTTAAATTAAATTTATTAAATATAGAAAATTAAAAATTGTAATATAATAATAAATATATATTAAGTACAGTAATTTTAACGGTTACATCATTTAAATGAAAATAAGTTAAAAGAAAGACACAATTTAAACAAACTTTAAACATAATAGATAAATTACATAAAACCTAAATCATATAACATTAGTTGTCTAACTTCATTGCTTGGTCAATGTATTTTTCAATCGCTTCCATCCCATGCAATAATCCAATATACGTCGTGGTAGCATACAATTCGAGACTTGTTAGGTCGTGCAGTTCTGTGAACAATGAAAACATACATTTCACATCTTCATCATCCCTAAGACGACACGTTGTATATCTATATACACCACCCATACATGAATTTGAGTATTGGTAGTGAATATTTATGACAACTTTGTAATGAGGAAGATTAAGGTTATTATTAATAACCTGCTTAAGTTGCTGATAAGTCATCATGTTACTTACCAGTAGGGTTTTAACCTCGTTGCTAACAAATGTATCTCCATGCTCAGTGGAGACAATTTGTCCATCATAGTAAACAGTGACTGGAACAGTTAACGACTCCATTGATTGGATGTTTCAATTTGTTGCATTTTTTTAGCCTGTGTTTAGGGTTTATATAGAACTAAAGCAACCTAATGTGGACAAATGCAAAGTCATTGGATTCTTGATGCTCTGTACAAAGCATTGATTTTTTGACGCTCTGGGACAAAGTAATTGATGACACTGCACAAAGTCATTGGATTCCTGACGCTCAGGGACAAAGCAATTGATGACACTCTGCACAAAGTCATTAATTTTTCTGACGCTCTGGGACAAAACAATTGATGACACTGCACAAAGTTATTGGATTCCTGCTCTAGGACAAAATAATTGATGACACTCTACACAAAGTCATTAATTTTTCTGACAATTTAGGACCAAGCAATTGTTTAAAATTCTATTTTTTTTTAAATTTATCTAAAGTTGTGATTTATCATAATATTTTCATTTTTTAAAATTATATTTAAAATTAATTTTATTAAATTTTATTCTTTAAAATTTATTTTAAATATATTTTTATAATCTAAAATAAAAACAAAAACTAAATAATTTTTTTTAAAATTTATTATAATTTTTTAATAAAATCTGAATATTAAAAATTGAAAAACAAAAAAAATAACAAATCTAGAAAAAAAATTCAAAATTCAAAAAAAAAAAAAAAACCCAAGTGAAAAATCATAACCGATTTCTCACCTAAATTTTTAAATGGGTCACTTACGTAAATATATATGCGTTTAGGTTATTTAAATAATTTAAAAAAATAGTATATTAAAAAAAAAGTCTTCTAATATAACCATACCTTTCAAAATTAAGAATTAAAATAACGGCTTACTAAAAAATGCCATTTTTTTTAACTCTTTATAAAGTATTTTACCCATTTGAAAACACTTATTTCCCAGAAAATGACACTGCAAAATCACGTGACCGTGGAAGGTGAACCAAACCAAATGTTCCTTCAAATGATTATTATTTATTTGGCATCGCACCAACCATATCTCGACATTGAACACGAACATTGTTTATCTAGTATTGACACAATCGTGACCTTCTTGCTAGGCTGTCCCCGTCATAGCGGTTCAGATAAGAATTCTATTACACATCAAATTCATTTTTCCTTCTCCTTTCAATATCTAGTTCCCAAGATAAGAAGAACAAGAAAAGGTTACACCAATGATTTTATCAATTAGCCAATGAATCAGTGTTCCAAGCACATAAGCAACGTTGAACGGTTATTGAAACGGGTTTGGTGGTTTTGGGTTTCAGGCGCAGAAAGGAGTAGAGAGTGGAGAGTGGAGAGTGAAGTGAGTGGTGCAACTTTGGATCCCACATGGCTCACAAATCGCTAAGCTCTATCAGTGTGTCCGAAATTGAATCCCACGGAATCACGAGAGAAGATGCTGCCACTATCCACCAAAGTCTCACGGAAATAATTGGAATTCACGGAGACAACACCCCCGCCACGTGGCAGCACATCAGCAACATCGTCCTCAAGCCTGAACTCCCCTTCTCCTTCCATCAGATGCTGTACTATGGTTGCTACAAGGATTACGGTTCCGACCCACCTTCTTGGATACCCGACCCGTATGTCATTTAAAATATGTGTGTTATTTATTTATTTATTTTTGATAATCATATTATTGGTACGAAGTATTCGGGATGATTACTGATTTTTGCTGGAAGACCTGACTGATCATCTTTAGTGATGTCAATGAATTTGTTGGTTGTGTGTTATTTGTTGATTTGATGTTTTGATTGATGTGATGAATGATTGAGATGTTTGAGCATTAAGCTTAGTATAAAAGGTTAGTGGCTTTTTTTTAAAACCTTGTTTCATGTGTTTGGAGGATCACAACTACTATAAGTGATTTTGGTTGGGAGACTTGATTGATCACTTTTAGAGATGTCTCTTGAAACAATGACTTGTTAGTTGTGTTATTTGTTGTTTTTGATGTTTTGATTTATGTGATGAATGATTGAGATGTTTGAGCATTAATTTTAGTAAGAATGAAAGGTTAGTGACTTTTTTTTAAAACCTTGGTTCATGTGTGTGGAAGATCACAACTACAAGTCTACAAGTGATTTTGGTTGGGAGACCTGACTGGTCACTTTTAGAGGTGTCTCCTGAAACAATGACTTGTTGGTTGTGTGTTATTTGTTGTTTTTGATGTTTTGATTGATGTGATCCATGATTGAGATGTTTGAGCACTAATTTTAGTAAGAATAAAGGTTAGCGACTTTTTTTTTAAAAAAAGCTTGTACCTTGTTTCATGTGTGCGGAGGATCACAATTGATAAGTGATTTTGGTTGGGAGACCTGATTGGTCACTTTTAGAGATGTCTCCTGAAATGACTTGTTGGTTGTGTTATTTGTTGTTTTGATTGATGTGATGCATGATTGAGATGTTTGTGCAGTAATTTTAGTAAGAATGGTTAGTGACTATTTTTTAAACCTTGTTTCATGTGTGGTTAGGGAAAGTGCTGCCTTGACTAATGTTTGGCAGTTGCTAGAGAGGACGGGTGAAGAGTTTCTGGGTTCGGCATATAAGGATCCAATTGCAAGCTTTGATGATTTCCAGAAATTTTCAGTCTCAAACCCTGAGGTTCAATCAATTCTAAATTAATCTGAGAACTTGTAACATTTGCTAGCACACTCTTTTCAATGCCTTTTTAGTTGATCGGTGAAATTTATGTGTTACACTTGAAGTTTTAAATTGCGGTTGGAATAATGATTGTACCGAACTCCAAAATCTTATGTTCCAGAAAATTGCAAGCAAATGCAACAGCAATGCAATTGCAGTCATAAAAACTCTGAAACCTTGAGATTGCGGTTAGAATTGCCGTTGCAGACTGTAATTTAAAACTCTCACTCCCTCTAAATGATGTGGATCCCGCTCTCAAGTTATTGGGTTTCATCCCTTATTTTGTGGTGCTATGTACGTTACACTTGAGATGATAAAAAAGGGTGCTAAAAAGAGTTTGTAGATAGTTTATCGCTAGCATATTTTAGGGATTTGGTTTCAATTTCTCAAGTTTGTTTGTACTTGGCAGACTTTGTATTGTTGTTTTCTATTGCTGCAGATATATTGGAAATGTGTGCTGGATGAGATGAACATATCATTTACCAAACCACCTGAATGCATCTTACGTGATAGCCCAATATCACACCCAAGTGGTCAATGGCTTCCTGGAGCATCAATTAATCCAGCACAGAATTGCTTAAATATAAATGGCAAAAGAGGTTTGAATGATACAGTAATAATATGGCGTGATGAACATCCTGATGATCCCCCTTTACAAAGGATGACACTTGAGGAATTGCGTGAAGAAGTTTGGTATGCTGTAAATAACTTGTCCTTTTGTTGTTAGCTTTGGATGCTTTTTTGCTTGTTGTAGTTGTGAAGTGTATATTCATGGTTGTTCTTAACATTTTAAAATTTTGTATTGTTCATTATTGTCTCAAGGACAATGGTTAAGGAACTAAAACTGAAGAGTTTTTATCGGAAAATGTAACAATATTTGTTACCAATGCATTTCCACCAAGATTTCTAATAAAAACCTTCTATTCAGTGATTCCTTAACTATTACTTTAAGGGCAATAATTGGAAAAACTGTTTAAATATATATATATATATATATAAATTAAAAATTACAATTTTCTCATATAAAGACTAAAACTTAAAATGAGAACAACTTACACTGATAAACTCTATTGTATTTTCTCTATTAGACCAAGGTATGTAAAACCTAACTTACCCTATCTATTTCCTTGGTTGACATGGTTAATTTGTGATGGGCCTTAAACATTCATTTGTAAGAGAAAAGAAAAAGACGGTAGGATGCAGAAACATGTGCTGAGGGAGGTTATGAAGGACGATGAAAGGAGGAATAAGGATGCATCAAATGGTATGGAAGGATAAGAGCTGCATAAAACAGTGGAGGATACAGCTGTGGGGAAAAAAGGGCTGTAACAGAATGAACACTTGTAAACTGGGTTCACTTATCCCGGTCTAGACTGAATATCCAGATCACATGTCTTGTTTGCCATCTTATATAATTGAAGATTTTGGGTTTGAACTAAATTGTGATAGAAAATATAAATGATAGCTATGTGCAGCAGTCCTTAAATTAATGGTATATTGTTCGGTTAAGTTTGAATTTGAAATAGTGCATAGTATGACTACTGTACACTTAGCTTCTTTGAATTCAATTATTTGTAATAACAAAATGATAGTCTGTTATGTCTGTTAACTTGTAGGTTAGTTGCATATGCTCTCAAAGCTCTGGGTCTGGAGAAAGGATCTGCAATTGCAATTGATATGCAAATGAATGTCACATCTGTGGTTATCTACCTAGCTATCATTCTTGCAGGTTATGTTGTTGTATCAATTGCTGATAGTTTTGCAGCTAGTGAAATATCAACCAGGCTTAAAATATCAAAAGCAAAAGCCATATTTACTCAGGTTGACTCCCTAATTTCCTCTGATGATTTTTTTTTTATCATGTCATATTGTCATTTCAGGTTCTTAATGATTTTTCTGTATTTCTCACTTGGCAAACTAAGCTGTTTATTACTATTGAAATTATAGTGATCTTAAGATGGGAAGAAATAAAAGAGAGAATAGAGATTTAATAATCTAAAATTGATATTCATATGATGTGATACAAAATGCAAGTTATCACCCCTATTTATACTAATACTAGAATTCTAATCCTGAATTATAATGAAACTTGTCAGCTACACCCAATAGATTTAGGATACTCTATTTATTCCAAGATTAAAATGCAACAACAACGATAACAAAGCCTTGTCCCATAGGTGAGGTTGGCAACATAGATCACACAATGATATTCGGCTTGGTTAAAGACCAAATCCTCAGAAATATTATTTATCATGAGATCCCTCTTAACAAATACCAATGTCTTGGTCTCTCTCTCTCCTCCTTTTCATAGGACTATAAACCATGTGATTTATTTATTCTAAGATGGGATACAACAATAGTATTATGAGATATTTTCTAGATATTC